CTCTCTCTCTCTCTCTCTCTCTCTCTCTCTCTCTCTCTCTCTCTCTCCTCTGTTAATCTTTACCTCTATGACTTTCTTGCTCTCTGTGTAAAATTGTACAAGTTGAGAGGGAATTCAAATAGATATCCCCATCTTCTCCATTCCAGAGCTCTTCTTTTTCTCCTACAGAAGGGAGGTGGGAGCTAGTTAATTCAGACAGGATAATGGGGGTAAAGCAAAGGAATATGTAATCTCAGCATCTCACCTCAACCAGTTCTGACCCTTATCTTTGCTTGCCTCCTGACACCAAATCCTGAAAGGCTGGCTTAGCTGGTTGAGTTTGTTCATTCAGACACATTAACAACTGGTTTTTAAAAGCTTTTTTTTCCCTTTAAATTAAAAAAAAATCTTATATTTTACTTGAGGGTGAGGAGAATGGGAAAAAATGAAAGTTAAAGGGCAGGAGACTAAGTCAAATAAGTTTTCATCCTAGGCTCATAAATCTTTAACTCTGTCAAAATGTAATCATTCAAAAACAACAAAAAGCAGGATCATGCAATACTAGAGTTGCAGGAGATGTTAAAGATCTAAATCCAAACGCTTCATTTTTGCTGATAAAACTTAAGACCTGGAAGAGACTTGCAGAAGCTCACGTAACTGGCAGATCCAGAACCCAGGTCCCCAACTCCCAGTCAAAGACATTTTTCATTCTATGTTGCCTTTCAAGAGCAACTACAAATAACTACAAAAATTATAGTCATACAATTCCAAGATAGGGAAGAGTAGAAAATGGCCCACACTCAGTGGGGAAAATGAAAAGCAAAAAAGAATGCCTCTATCTGGAGCCTGATGAGAATATTAAAATTATCCATTTAACCATCTAGCCAGCATCACTCATAAACCTTTGAAGATAACAAACCCTTGAAAAATGCTTGTTGAATTGAATTGAATAATAAACCACAGTGGAAGGGATACCCAAAGTCTACCAATTGTATTAGAAGCAGCAATGCCTCTCTGTGATCTCGGACGTAGAACTAAGGGAAGAAGTCTCTTCTGGCTACAGAAACGGGGTTTGGCACAGAGGGAATACAGTCATTGAACTGGGAGATTTTTCTCCTGTGGAGCCCTGCAAATGTAGTCTTTTAACAGCCTTGCGCCTTTCTCAAGGAATTGGAAAGGGGTAGGGGGAGACTCAATGTGTTTGTTCACTTGCATTTGTATCCGATAAGGGAAAAAAATGCTTCCTCCCCCACAGCTGTGCGTTCTCTTTCTAGGGATCCTTTGCCCTGCAAAAAAGGACAACTGGGTCTTTGACTCTGGGAGCTTGAAAGGAAGGAAGTAGCAAGAGAAATTTACATGACCTACAAGCATTATGATATCCTGTCTATCTGTTTGTGGAAAATCTAGTATGTAACTATCTACTACTCTGCTATGTAATAAAGATGCCCATGCATATATCAAATGGGTACATCGCATGTATGTACATCACAGTTGTAGGTCTAGTTCATAGAAGGATACATATGAATATACAAGCATATAATGGGTACATAGCACAGAAGGATATAGCAGATATGGCCTCTCTGAAAAGATAAAGGTCTGGTACACATACATATGTACACATGTAGCTATATGTGCATATTGCATCTCTTTGTATGATAAATACTGCAACAAATCATTTTATCCTGGCATTTCTCTCTGGCATATGCCTCAGTCTGGCTTTGCCTATGCAAAGGAGGCCAGAGAATCCATATTCTGATAACCATAGAAGGAAAGCTTTCTCTTTACTCCTCAGTTTTTTTTTAGAATTTAGCAAGGACAGCAGATTGAGAGACTAAAACCAAAGATGTGAAGATGTAAATGCACTAGTATAAGAGTACAGATGGAAACCAACTCATTCCTATCATTATGAAGCATTGTTCAAACAATCCAACCTGCTTCTCAGGCCTTCCTCCCAGGGACGTGGGTATGACTACAATTTTTGTAGTTATTCTCCACTTCAGAGTTTTGATCTTTACTTCTTAGGTTAACTTTGTTAGTCTGGGAGGAAAGGGGGGGGCAGGTGGGGAAGAAGAAACCAAGTCTGACTTTGATTTATTTAGACTGATAATCATCCTAGAATAATTTAGACTGAGTCCCATAAGTTATGTTACTGTAGCTATTGCTAATTTTCCTTTCTGATTTTTATTTTTCAACTTTATAAGAAGGTGAGGCACTTACAAGCATCTGCTGCTCTAATCAAAAAGGCCCTTCTCCCCAAGTTTAAAGAGAGTCAATGTGGCATGATGGGAAGAAAACTGAATTAGCAGACATGGATTTAGGTTCTGCTTTGGCCACAAACTGCCCCCATCCCTGGAGCAGTTCATTTCCCTTCCTTGGGCCTCAATTTCCTTCTAGGTTAAAATTAAAGGAGCAGTTAAGACTAAATGATTCCAGCTCTAACAATCCATATTCTAAATGGAACAAAGGGAATCTCTATATAAGGAAAAGATTCAGACAGGCCAGATGGGGTTTGTAGGGCACCAGAACCTGCTTTCCTTTAGGGAAGATAGGTTTCAGGCACCTCTCACAGTCAGGGCTGAATTCAAAAGGCAGATAAACATTAATCCCAGAGAGGTGGATTGTTGCTCTGGCCTGAGGGTTACTGAGCTAGGGAACCATGAAAATGAAAGGCTAAGCAAAGTTATCGCTCAAATGTAATTTCTGTGTCTTGGGCCATTCAAACTCTCCTGCTTCTTGAAACCAGCAGTAGCCCATCTTTGACTGGAAAAAAAAATAAAAGAAATATTATCCACAGAGAGAGTTAAACTCAGATCATTAACTTGGTGAAATGCTATGGTACCAAATACCTTTGGAAAATCTCTGATGAATTTCCCACTCCTTTGTTCTTACAATGATCAGTCCAGTCCCTCAAACTGACTTTAGGCCAAAATGGTTCTTTGCTGTGTAATGAAGTAGAACTTGACCTTTAACACCTGCTCAGTATCTACCCAAGTCAGGATCTGCTTCCAAGGCAATGTTATGTGACAACCCCTTCTAGGCCCAGTGTGATCATGTTGTGTTGTGGTGGTAGTTGTTTGGGGGAGTAGGGGACAGCAAGTATAACGCTGGATTTCTGAGAGGGCCTAGCCAAAGCTCTGCTTAGATGCTTAGAGGGCCTTATGATTTCCCCTCCCCAATCCCAGTACAACCCGTAGGTATCTCGGAATCTTTTGTTTCCTAGGGTACACCAGTTCCCGGAACGCATCTGTTCTTTTTCCTTGTCCCGTATTTTGTACCAGTGCAGGGAAAACAAGACCTTACGCCAAACTCAGAACCAGTCGGTAGCAGAAATTAAAAAAAAAATCAAAAAAGAGTTCCCAGGTTTGCATCTTTATCTCTGTGAAGAAAAAGAAGCTCGGAGAGGCATTTGGACAGGCATGAGCAGGGCTGCTGTATGGAGAACCCGGGATGTGCCAAAAATGGACTCACAGTCCCAGAAACAGGACTCAACCACGACAATTACCCTTTCTTTCTGAAAGTAAGGAGGGAGGAAGAAGAAGAAAGGGAGGAAAGAAAGAGACCATTACAAGGATTTCATCCTTCCTATCTATTCCTTCTCCCTTCTCTCCGTTCCCTCTACCTTTGCAGCCCCAGGCCACTCGCCAGGACCATCGAATCTATCGAGTTATAGTAAATTTCTTTGCTCGGTTTAATTTGTTAAAAAGCCAAGTTCTTCCCTGAAGACCTCGAGAGATGAGAGATGTTTATGGAGCATATCGAAGAGACCTTAACATTTCTGCAGGTGGCTACTCCCCCTCCCAAATTTGTTCTTCCTCTAGCTCTCCACATCCTTGTCTTTCTCACCCTCACTGCTCCCCACCCCATCTAAGGAATCCTTCGGAGAGACCCAACCTGGTCCCTAATGCCATCGCTCCCGAGTTCATATCGTCTCCCAACAATTCTGGGTTCCAGAAACCCCGCATGGGAAGACTCTGGGTTTGCTGGGTTTGCCCTATCCAAGAGTCTCGAAGGGTGGTCGAAGAGCTACGACTTCAAGACGTTCTGCTAACAGTACTGGCCCTAAGCTGGCCTCTTTCCATTTGTCCCAACACCTTAAAACCGAGACTTCCTCCAAAGGCAGAAGCCGCTAGAGCCCTAGTTTGTAAGTGGTGGAGTTTTGTGTGTCGCCTCTTTTCTTTATTTTAAAGTCGCCTCTTTGTTTCTATATGCCTGAGAAAGACTGTCTAGGAGCCAGACATCTTGGCGGCTGATCCTGCAGGGGTTTGAGAACAGGGGGCGCCTCTTGTCCAGGCTCCAGATGGTTTCGGGTCTGACCCGAGTTCCCGAGTTTCAAACTTTCTCTTCCCCACTTAGCAGCGCAGGATCTAAGGGGCTGGGAGGGGAGGAAGCAAGCCCGGCTCCCGGAGAAGAGGTGCGTGCCCATGGGTGGTTGTGAGCAGTGTCAACTACACGCCCCCCCCAACTTAGACCATCTGGAGATTGCCCCCTAAAGTCCTTCAATTTTCCCACTCTAGGCGCACGCACCTGCTGCTACGCACCCTCACCCCTGTCTGTGCTTACCTGCCTTGGAGAGCTGCCCCTGCAGCCCCGATCCAGGCTGCGGCTCGGAGGCCCAGCGCAGGGCGGCAGCGGCTGCGGCCAGCTCGGCTGGACGGGGCGGCTGCGGCGGCTGCTGCTGAGGCTGAGGCTGTTGTTGAGACGGCGGCGGCGGCTGCTGCTGGGGAGCCGAGCCGCTGTCGCCGGGCGGCGGGGGCGGGGGGCCGGGTAGGGCCCGAAGCGAGTCCGGGATGAGGCTCTCCAGGCTCTCGTTGGCCTGCTGCCGGCGTAGCGCCACCTGCGCGGCCATGACCCGCTGCCGCTCGATGATGAGGATGCACTTCTCGCAGGTGCAGTCCTTGAAGCGGCAGTAGCGCTTGTGGCCCTTGAGCCAGGAGAGCACGCCGTGGTTGCGGCAGCGGGCGCACTTGGGCGTGCGCTGCAAGGGCGCCCGCGGCGGCTGCGACACCGGGCCGCCCATGTACAGGTATGGGGAGCCGTAGCCGTTCATGCCCCTGGGCTCCCGGGGGAGCTGGCAGTCTGGAAGCGGCGGGGGCGGTGCAGGGGGGCACTGGAGGCAGGCAGGGACAGGGGGAGCTCTAGGAGGCAGCTCCGGGCGCTCCGGGGCCCTGCTGCGCCCCCCGCGCCCGGGGTGGACGCTCGCACCCCTCGCTTCTTCCCTAGTCCACTTAGGCTACAACGCTGCGGCTTCTGCTTCGAGCAGTCCACAAGCTGGGCTCGGCCCGAAGGGTCTCCGCGGGTCTGCGGCGGCCGGGACTCCCGGTCCCCAGCTCTCCCCGAGGAGGAGCCGCGGCGGCTGCTTGGAGAGGGCGAGAGCTCTGGCTGACGTCTGGAGCTGGACTGCAGCGTTTCTGCGCGCTTCCTCGGGGCCGGGCGCCTCCCCTCCTCCCCTCCCCCTCCCCTTCTCTCTCCCTCCCACCCCCACCTCCGGGGTCCCAGTCTCTTTCTTCTGCTCCCCACCACCACCCCCACCTCTTCCCTCCTCCTCCCTTTGCTCCGATCCCTGCACTGTCACCTCCGTTGCCACCTACATACAGCCTGTCCTCACTCACGGGGGCGCTCCCAGCTCTCTCCCTCCTCCTGCCTGCTTTTCGCCAGGCTGCTGCTACAGCCTGAGGTGGCACGAACCCGAAAGCCACGGGGGTGCGTGTCAAGGCGGGGGGTGCGAGGAGGAGAGGGAGGGGGAGAGAGGGAGGAAACGGTGGCCCTTCCCTCCTGCGTCCCTCAGTCCCTCTGAGATCGATGTGATGGCGGAGATGTGCTTCTAGGCACATAGCCCCAGTGAGCTCTCCATTCACGATGGAGAGGAGGTAGGACCGATCCGAAGTCTTCTCAATTGAGGCCTTTCTAGACGCAGGAGAAAAGTTTGCCCCGGAAGTTTGGGGATGGTAGAGTTGGAGGGGCGGGGAAGAGAGAGAGGGGGTTGGGGAGAGGAGGATATTCTGGAAAGTTGATCTCAAAAAACCAATGCTTCTTCTACACGTATTTTTTCTTTCTTTTGCTCCAGACGAGAGAAATGAATCTCAGAAACCCTGCTAGGCAGAGGCAAAGAACTGATTAACGGGCCCATTACGCTTGCTACTTCAAAAGACAGAACCCGATGCAGCAAACTCTATCTCCATCTCACTCCACAATTTTCAGTAAAGCCATATCCCTAAAGGCCTATGAACAGTTCCGGTGGTGACTTTTTAAAAAAAAAAAATTCTGGATTTAACTCTCAGAAAATTGGAGAAGCTGCATTAGAGACTAAGTATCCTGGAAAGCCCTCCCGAATTTAATTACCCTCTCCTTCCTTAAAACAGCCAAATGTGGAGATCTCATTTCATCTAACCCAAGTCTCCGAGATCTCTGTTGTTTTGGCCCCTTTGCCTCTTTCAGCTTTGAAAAAATACTCTCCCCTCTTCAGGTCCCCACCCCCAGATTTTCTCTGGAACCCGTCCCGGGATCTTGCACTGTCTAAAGCCGACTCGAGTCTTGGCCACCACAGAAAAACTGCCAAAACTGGCTTCAGAAAATGACTCCAAGCCGGGCGGTTTCCGATCCCCATCTACAAATGTCTTTGCGAGAGACGAGCACGCTCAAGTTTTGAAAACATTTTGTACTACTGTTGGGGCCAGCATTTCAACACAGTTCGTGGTCGTAGCTAACTTATGGCAGGTCCTTCTCTGTTGGACAAGCACATAAACATTTCAGAGGCTCCATTTGTGATTCTTCCTGCGGAAAGAGGCTATTTTTTTTTTCCTCCTGGGGAAGACTGCAATGCATTCGGTTACCCTGAAAATGAACACGCAACACATAAACTTTCCAACCGTGATTACACTAAACGCCGTAAAATTATACTGTCAGGTGCATTAGGTTAGTGGATACTGTGATTTCACTTTCTGGGAAAAGGCCAATTTCCAAACAAAGCAAGGAAATGTGTGAAAGGGTGTTTGTGTTCATGCTTAAGTGTATACACAAGCAGGTCCACATACATAAGTGCATATGTGTATATACAATGAGGCCACGATTCTGTTGAATTGTACGTTTATCAGCCTTAAATTAAAGATCATTATCAAAAGCACATGGAGGGGTTCTTCCCAAAGGGGAGGAAAGTATAGTGGGTACTGAACTGTTTTTGTGGTTGATATCTCACATCCTTTCCTCTTATGAAACATTTTTTTGTTTATATTCGTTTTCTTATCTCAAGGTTCTCTGGAATTAGAGCTCACATAATACTTTTAGCATTTAGGGCGTGGGTGAGAAATGTCAATTCCTCAGACAACTAAGCAAACTAGCTTCTGAGCTGAGATTCTGTCCAGCTGTCTGTGACCCCAAACATTGAAGAGACTTGCTCGAGAGAAGGCTTGGTTTCGTCACTCCTCTTAATTTGGCAGGTTTTGTTTCTGTACTTCAGCCCTGGAGGGGCATTGATTCAGTTACCACCACCTCAACACCCCACCCCCCAGGAATTCCTTTGCTTCGAATTGACGTGCAAGCAACTTCACTGAAAACGTTTCTACTAAATACACATCAAACACCTCTCAGCCCTAGCCTCTTCTCCCCGCCCCCAAATTGCCCCTTCTTGCCACCCCCCCAAAAAAAACCCTTAGAGAAAAAGGGAAATAGAACAGCATTCGGAGCAGTAAGGTGCTAGTCAAATACCACCCACTGTCCGCTAGAGCAACGCTAGTAGGTTCAGGGAAAATAATAGTCTACTCTGCTCTAGAGGACCCGAAGAAGGGAAAAGCTGGCACAAACCCTCTCCACGTGACGAACGAATTAAAGAGGGAGAATGAAACAGGTCTTGGAACCTCCACACTGAAATACCCTAGGTCCCTGTATGCGACTCTGGCCGGCTCTAATCAGGGATGGTTAAGCGAAAATAGGCATTCGCTCTGTATTTCTCCAATCAACATCAATTTCAAACAAGAATGAGCGATATTTTTTTTTAAATCTACGCCAGTACTAGAGCTTTTAAGAGCCAGAGCAAACCCCTTTCTTTCCCCTATCACCTATCCACGTTTATCTCCTACCATTAAAATTCTCTGGTATTATTTGGTTCAGGGGCCCCTGTTTCACTCGAGTGCACATTGGGGGCTAAGATTTAAATACTCATTTGATATAGTGCAGTAATCCTTTTCTCATATTTGATGGGAATGTTTTCCATATCCCAGTATTTGACAACATCTCCCTATAGGGACAGGTTTGTATTTATGTTGGTAAAATGTCCCCTGCCTGAAAGTCTATTGTAACCCAACACCTGACAACCCCGAGTCCCATTTCTGTTTGCAGAAAAGGTTTATTCAAGCACATAATGGGATCCCAGCAGAAAGCCTTCCAGAACAAGGGGCTATGGTAAACTTCACCACATGAACTCCGTTTCCAGGGCTATTAAGCTTTTAATTGGAAAATAGCAGAGGAAATTTCAAGGTGACTATAACGTGTTAGCAGTTAGTACCCAGAAGAATAGCCGGAGCGGGAATGAATGTGGAAAGCATATGGTCCAAATAACATTTAAGGGGAGAGTGCTTGGTTCCACTAAGTCCAAGCAGCTTATACACTTATGGGAAAAATCATCAAAGAAATTGGAATGGGAGGGGAAAGGGGGGAGAGATTAAAAAGGACGTAAATGTAACTTCATTAGACTGAATCCACTCACGTTCTCCTATGGTGTATGTGTTTAACCACGATTAACTGAGCGGAATTCCAGTGTGACAAGTATTAATGGCTAAAGGCTGGACGATAATGTGTGTGTATATAAAGAAAATATGTGTGTTTGCATACATGGTAAGGTGCTTTCTAGCCTTATCTAGTTTCTCTAGGAGAAACCAGGGAACTCTTGGGGGAGGGGGGAAACGACAACTCATAGACCTGATTTTATAAAGACCCAGTCAAATATATGGAAGCGGAAAGTTTCTATTTTGTGGAATTCACATTGCTGCTAATATCCAGTCCTCCGAGAGGAGGAGATTAGTTCACATCACACTATTGCCACTTTAACCCCGTACATGGTAACTAATGTTATTGTTACTAGAGCAGCAGTCATTTGGGACGGTATCCAACCATGAACCCAAAGCATCCTTGCTTTGTAAAGGTTAGGAATCATTTCTCTCCCCCCGCCCTTCCTTCCCTCCTTTATTTTCCTCTCCCCTCTCTACACACATTTTCGACATTGAATATACTCCCATTTCTCCTGTCTCTTAAAAGAGATTCTTAGGCCAGTGTCAAATTAAAAGAAAAAAAGATGTATGATCAGACAGCCCGTTACTTTCAGTGGTAGTGTGTCCTTGTTTTCACATAATTACTTCAAGAAAGAAGCACATATCAACCCGAATGAACACCCCGACAGTCATTCTCACGAGCTAAGTTGAAATTAGTGACACCGAGACCTCCTCGCAGGGCTGCGGGAGCGTACTCATAATGAATCAGAGCGAGCGCAGTTAACCGCTAGGGAAGCGCCGGCTGCCCAGAAGGAATTACCAAAGGTCAGTGGCTGCGCACCAGTCATAAATATTTTGGGAAAGGGTTTGCGCTCCACAGGCCGCCTCAGTCCCTAACTGTAGCAACGTTACGCCCTTTGGGGAAACGACGGGACCTGGCATTTCGCAAATGGACGTCCCTTGGGAAATTTAGAATCATCTCCCTCTATTATTTCATTTTACTCGCCCCACCCTTCCCAACCCCCCCCCGGGGAGGGTGGAATCACAAGGTAGAAAGTCCAGAAGAGCACGAGGTTCATCTTTGGTTGGTGGCCCCTCCAAACCAGCCCCAACTCAGAGACCCATATATTTTGGTGGGGAGAGGTGGGCAGGGGAGTTGTCCAAGTGAGAGGCACAGGTAAACTTCCCGAGGAGTGGTTGCTGGTTCTAGAGGGACGAAATGTATCTTTTGGTGTTTATCTGTCCTTGTCTTTGAGGTCCATGGAAATGACCGTCACCACTGAAGTTGTCGGCTCCCCAACCCTGACTGTCTAGAGAATTAGCTGCATTTAATAATCCTCCTTCCAGA